TTGTTGCTGGAGGCAGCACAGGTATCCCATCCTTGTTGCAACTTCTTATACCGTGTGGAGTTCCACAACTGAAGAAGAAATCAGTGGAAACACAGAGCTTGAGTAGTTGCAAATATCCATTTTATTGTATAACATAGAACTAACTAGAACAAGCCCAAACCAGCTGGGCTGACCCCAGTGACCTCAGTTATTCCAACAAGAAGATCTTGAGAAGGAAAATGTATGTTGTTGAAAGGAACAATGTGGATGTGTGTATGTAGCTGACCAAATGTGACCTTGCATTGTGTGAGAGATAGTGGACCTACTAAAACCAGACTGATCTAGCTTTTCTGCTTTAAGGATGAGACTAACACTCATGTAACTAAGTTTATCTATGCATATTGAGATGGGGGGCTCCAAGCATTTAGCCAATCGTAATGCTGTTACTAGATTATGTAATATCTCTTCCTTTTTGTGTGTAATCATGGATATATAAGGTTGCTGCAGACATTTGATTTTGAAGTCTTCCTTTTTTAAACTTCCCACAGCTGTGTCTTAATAAAAGTGTTTCTCTCCTTCCAACCCTGAGTCTGGATTTCCATCACAATCTATATCTACAACCCAATACACAACACCATCCACATAGTTTTTTCCTACCAACATTGCTAAACTGACACTCATGTAAAGCAAGGGCATGTGAAGTGAGGTGCGTGCTGATTGCACACAACTTTGACAGAGTCATGCACTCCCTCTACATCCAATCAAAGCACTGCTATTATGCAATTCACACATCCCACACATTCTAGGTACTAGGGTTGCCAGGTGTCTGGTATTCTACCAGACAGTCCAGTTTTTGGGCCCTCTGTCCGGTAAAAAATCCAGAAAATACCAGACATGTGCAATGTCTGGTATTTCCTGGATTTCTGGCTGGGCTCCACACAAAACTCTGGCAGGGGGTGGGGGAGTGGCTGGGAGCCCTGGCTTCATTTGATGCCTTGGGGAGGAGGAGAAGCCCTGTCCCTGCTCCTTAGCGCATGGTGGAGCCGCAGCCGGACTCACTCGCGCTTCTCCGGACCGTGCGTGGAACTGACAGTGCCCCAGGATCTGCATGTGCCCGGCTCAGTCCCACCCCCACTTCCCCCGACCAGCTCCACTGCCCTCAACCCTCTCCGACCCCTTTCCGGCCACCTGCGCTGCCCTTGACCCCTCCTCCCCCGCCCTGGGCCAGTCACACTGCCCTTGACCCTCCACACAGCCCCATGACCCCCACTTCCCCCATCAAGTGTGTCCGGTATTTTTTCTAAACCTACCTGGTAACCCTACTAGGTACGCAAACACAGTTAGCAAAACTATTATATCCTGGGTGACCATCTTGGTTACAACAATCATGCAGTCCACTGAGCTGAAAGAGGAGCACTCAAGTGGCTGGCTCATTAGCACAGGTTGCCCACCACTGCCTTTGAGACCTGTGAATAGTGTCACTTATGAGTAGGGTCCCCACCAAAGCTTTGGATCTGCCATCAGCAGCAAGGACATGCTTTTTAAGAAGAAATAGGGTTGAAAGGGGTATGAGTAGCAGCAGCAGGACCTGGAGTGGAATGGAGCAGGCAGCAGTGCTAAGCTTGGCACGTATGGGCTGCAATGTTATAGTAGATCCCTGCCTCACATGAGACTGGTTGTACAGGGGAAGGATAACCCACTGGCCTCATTCCCACCAGTTCTGCAACATTTGTCAATTGTTCCTTTTACAGAATGGACCATTCCTGTGGGTTTGTTTTTGTGTTGATTGCATGTGCACCTAAGAACAGGGATAGATCCAAAGTGGGTTTTTTTTTAAACTTCTGCTTACTAGATGCCTCTGCTCTCTCAGAAAATAACAGCATTAGAGACAGCATATTTCCATGTTCCACTTGCCTGCTGACTTGCACAGCAAGCAGTTAGCAGCAACTGGGCCTGTAGGAGATGACAATCAGAAAAGAGGCAAGGAGAAGGGAGAGAAGCAGCAATTGTAGCTGCACAGTTTATTAGGAATCCAAGCTTTTCTCTCAGACCTCAGAGCAGGTAGTGTTATTAGCTAAAGTAAACTGCTAGTAGCTCCATCTCCTACCACATAGCACATTCCAATTTGTTCCCCCAGAAAAAAATTCTCTTTGCTTTTTAAAATCTTTTATACTATCGGTAATGAACACTGACCTACTCTTTTACTTGGTTCTTAAAACAACCTGAACTAGTACAAAATCTCAACAAAGTTCAACATAAAATGCTTTCAGCTCACAGACCTTTAACCCACAAATGTTTCATAGTACTAAAGGTTTGCTTTAAGTTTTCTAAATTTCAAGTTATGAAACAGCAGGTTTAGAGAATCAACTAAAAGAATGAAAATAGAAACTAACAATTGGTTACTAACTCCAGAGTGCATTTTTTGAGCCTTAATCATTCAGGGTATGTCTACACTACAAAGTTAGTTCGAACTAACTTTAATAGGTACTACACTAGCGCTCCGCTAGTTCGAATTTAATTCGAACTAGCGGAGCGCTTAGTTCGAACCAGGTAAACCTCATTTTATGAGGATTAAGCCTAGTTCGAACTAGCTAGTTCGAATTAAGGGCTGTGTAGACCCTTAATTCGAACTAGTGGGAGGCTAGCCCTCCCCAGCTTTCCCTGGTGGCCACTCTGGCCAACACCAGGGAAACTCTATGCCCGCTAGTTCGAATTTAATTCGAACTAGCGGAGCGCTTAGTTCGAACCAGGTAAACCTCATTTTATGAGGATTAAGCCTAGTTCGAACTAGCTAGTTCGAATTAAGGGCTGTGTAGACCCTTAATTCGAACTAGTGGGAGGCTAGCCCTCCCCAGCTTTCCCTGGTGGCCACTCTGGCCAACACCAGGGAAACTCTATGCCCCCCTCCCGGCCCTGGACCCCTTAAAGGGGCACAGGCTGGCTACGGTGCCCATGCCAGGTGCAAGCCTGCCAGCACC